AACAGCGTAACTTGAAAATTATTTCCTTGAAAACATTATAAAAAAAATATTAGTTTAATAGTGAAAGTTCTCTAAGAAAATATTGACTAATTATGACATTATATAATACTTCTCATCACACGAATGTAATTTTAAAAATTTCAACAAGATCGTTCTTATTGTTGTGGATCTCAATTGAACATTTTCGAAGTATGAATACTTTTATAATCCACTCTCCTTCAAATATATTTTCAATTGTCTTATAAAAATATAATCATATTATTTATTTGGTGACATCAATCCTACAAATATGAAAATCAATTTAAAACACGACAACCAAATGTCCTAAATATACATTAACAATTATCAAAATAGAAAAAGTTAATATTTTTCAAATTAAACCGACGATTTGACTCATTTTGTTGATCTATTGATGAATCAGACTTCGTTTCTATTAGTGATTTCGATAATGATGTATTATCTGTGATTTTTTAGCATACAAAAAAAAAAAACATTGATATTTAATTTTAGTAATTTATTTATCAATATTCTAAAAAACCACATAGCAAATATAGAAAATTTAAATAAGGGAATATATATTTTATTTTTTTAAATAAGGGAATATGACTGTTATTTTTTAAAACTGACTAATTCGACTGAGAGAAAAAAATGCAAGTTATATTTTTATAATAAAATTCATTCATAAAAATTAATATAATATTAAAAAGGTTAATATATGGAATTATTGACAATGGAAAAGAAAATGATTTTTATTTTATTTTCACGTTGAATTAATGTTATTAATTAATTATTAACAAAAATAAAATTAAATAAGAGTATATTGGGCATGTAGCTAAATATGTAATAAATTAATGTTATTAATTAGTTATTGGATAAATATTTTCGGACAACAAATTTTTATATTTGCACCTCATTTTAATTACAATAAAGATTTTTAATAGTTACTCACTTTTCCTTTTATGTCATCGACTTTTTTCTCATTGCGTTGTTATTCTTAACCTTCAATTAATTAGAATATTTTGCTTTTAATCACGTTTTTATTCAAATATTCTTCTAACGAGCATTGAAAACAACGACAAATATTTTGTTCAACTTTTGTATTAATTATTTATTTATGTTATTTAAAAATACGAGTGATAAATATGTCTTTTTCGTCCTCATAACAAACATTTTGACAAAAATCGTCCCTATAGGCAATATATGAAAATTAATAGAGGGTCAATGGTAAATTTTATTTTATTTTTTTAAAAAGTTGATAACATAATTGTAAAAATAAGAAAAGCTTAGAGATATCATTGCAATTAAAATGTGGTGTGAATATATTTATCCTTAATTATTAATAAAATTAAAATCAAATAAGGGTATATAACTAAATATGTAATGATAAATTGGGTATTCAAAATTTCTCATTAAGCCTCAGTTTGTCTCCCATTATCTTAACAAGAAAATGCTTTTTTCGACCTTTTTTTTCAAAATTGCAATTGATGAACTGTTGCAACGGTACAAAATTGTATTTTTATCGGAAACAAACATGATGTAATACTCCCCTTTAATATATCGTAGATGTAGAAGATAGACGAATTAAGAACACTTAGCTCTTGTTTGGTCCTCATTATTTTCAAAATACATTTTTCTCTCTCTTATTTTCAACAACACATTGTTTTAATAAATAATATTACACGTAAATTCAAAACTTTTCCTTATATTTTAATCATACATTCTCAATCAAATCATTATTCAAAAATGCATTTTTGACGAGAAAATGGAGCTCAAAATAAGCTTTTAGTATTATTTCCTTAAATTATTTTTAAGTTTTCTTGATTTGAACCGTTCGAGTCACGTCACAACTTATTTCTTTCCAGAGTTAAGCACGAGAAACCTTTTTTTCAATAATAATAATAACAATAAGAATTATTAAAACATCAATATTGTATTATGCAGCAATTTTTGTTATAAGAGAATATTCGAGTTTAAAAGCTTCACTTTATTTGTTCCTTTTCTCGGACTTCTTTTATTTGGAAAAGAATCAAAGTAAGTTAGAACCAGTGGACCTCTAAATAGGCATCATATTCCTTGGAATATAGGGTTGATTGTCGAATTAAAACAGCCACGGTATCTTGTCTTTTCAATTACTCGATGTAAGATTAGAGGTGCAAATTGAATCAAGTTTGAACTTTTACTTCAATTGTTGTAAAAAACGTGTTTAATTAAATGTTCTATTTGACATGCCTATTTTATACTGATATATTTTTCCAATATTACTAAACCAGAGGTACGTGCATCCATTATTGAAATGGGATTCAATGAATTATGATGAATGGGAAAATAGTAAACAGCAAAATGAGTGGTACAAAACCTTATAAAACACGTGACCCAAAATGTACACACGAGTAAAACATGTAAATAAGCCAAGAAGGACTAACTCAAGTGACGACAGCAAAGTTTTACTAGATAGACGACCTATGAGGCTACGATCGAGCCTCTTTTTATAGGGAAGGGTGGAATTCTCCGATCCCTCTTTTTATATTGCATGTATGCCCCATGTGAACATTTCTACTTCAACCATAAACCCGGAAAAATAACATTGGCACTCGAAAGATTACATCAAATTCAAGTGGTGATTCGACAGCTACAAGACTATCTCTAAGATAAAGTTTGATGGAAACATTGTAACCCATGTATCAGTATTCGCTATATTGGGAACACTATTAACACCTAAATGGCTTGATTCCAGTCACAAACACACGAAATGGAATTGTATTTTGAGGGACTCGTGCTCGGGGATGACATCATTGGATTAGCTAATTTTTTGCTTTTCTCGGTAATATTTTATCCATTTGGGACGTAAGTGCGCCGAGTTGTAAAGGTTAAGCACCTATGTGCAAAATGCAAGTTGAAAGCCGCAAATGCACCGGTAGAGGTGGGGTGGAAATACGAGTCTAATTTATTCTAAATTTAATGAGAATCAAAATCATAATTAATAATTTAATACTATAGCATGCTCAATTATATACTTGTTAAATGCATGAACAATGTACATATCAGTCAATGCTACTTAAATATGATGATTCATCATTTCAATAACAAATAATATTACTCAAATGTACAATGAAAAAGAAATGAAAAAATGAATTGAAAGATTGCAATTCCCAACAAAAAGAGGCAGATATGAATGCCATATCCATCATAATAATAGAAGATAACAAACAAAACAAAAGCTAAATTAAGAGTGTGTTTGATGAATATTATTAAGAAAATAATGTATTTTAAATAATGATATGATAGAAAATATGTGATTAAAAAGTAAGGAAATATTATTGATGTGATGAAAAATATTATTTTATTGAAAAATGTGTAGTTGAAACTAAGTTTTGAAATAAGGATCCGTTTGATTGCAAAAGTGGAAAATATGTGGAAAGAAAATGAATACCAGGGAAAGTAATTGCCTAAAAATTGTTTTCCAAGGAATTGAAAATTAAGTGTGTTTGATTGGTATAATTTTCCACCTGAAAAATTTTTAAATTTTGTGTTTGTTTGACTTTATTTTACATGAAAATTGTTCATGAAAGTGATGATTTTTTCTACAATTGGTTATAAAATTTGTTTCCATTACCAAAAAGTAAAAAAAAAAAACAAAATTTTTTTCCTAAAAAATCATTTTTTTTATCAAAGTTTAAGTATTCGTTTGACTTTGTTTTATATGGAAATTGTTAATTAAAGTGAAAAAAATTTTTTACCATTGATTATGAAATTTGTTTTCATTGTAAAAATAAAAAACAGAAACATAGAATTCATTTTCCCACCAAAAAGGTGGGAAAACCAATTCCGCCAAATCATGGAATTGGCACATGTGTGAGGGAATTGTGGAAAAAGTTTTTTATGGAAAATTTGTACTATCAAACATGTCAAAAGATGAAAAATGGAATTCCATTTTTCATGAAAAATATCATCTATCAAACACACCCTAAGAGTAATGCTAGATTTACAATTTTGTGTACATCTAGTTTGACACTCCCCACACATCGGGGTGGGATTCGCGATTTTAAAAATCACGAACCCCACCCCCCATGTGAGAGGAGTGTCAAACTTGTACCGGGCTACATATGCAAACTAAACACCGTGCCTAGAATGCATGTATTATATGAATTATTCTATCTTTAGATTCTTTACTATTGGTTCAACCACATTAACTTCGATCTGTCTATTATTTTCAGGATGCATTTTACTCAGTCAAAATTATGCAAATATGAATTAAAGCTCCTACTGTGCAACACTTTGTCCTCTTTAATTCTCACTAAAATTTGCTTTCCATATGGAGTCATCCTTTTAAGGCCGCGCGTCCTTCATGTCAAAACAAAACCGAGCATAGAGTTTAACTACCTTAACTCCATGCCGGACTCTCCTACAATAGCTATCTGATTCGAGAGAATTAGAGCTGAGCATCGGAGTAATTTCTTTAGAGAGGAATAGTTTATCTGGCAATATGTGTGAACCATAATGCTAACATCTATTTATCATATCCCACGAGTTCTTGATCATACAAATCAGACTATGGTGCTCAAACTTGAAACTGTTATTTAAGGAAAAAGCAAAATCGCGTACGTTTTAATAACATAGCTCCTCTGATAACTCCTCCACCAATAGCCCAAATATGCCAACCTCAATTTCTGCTGCAGTCTCTTCGTCCTGCTCCTGAAATTTTGTCCATCTGTCCGATTCTTGTTTGAAAGCCGATTCGATCATCATATCTACAGTGTCAAATACTACTTCGTTATTGTTCAAGCTATTCGTTTCGGTCTTATGCTCGATAATTAGATCCGAGACTAGCCTCTTCATATCAGCAGAAATCTTCCTCGTTTTCTGAAGGTTTGATTTGCTAATGACTTCGAGTGCAAATGTGTCAACACTATGCTCTACGTACATTGCAATTGGTTCATCATCTTCGTATTCCTCTCTTTCTTCCTGGTCATCATCGTCTGATCCTTCTAGCAAATTTCTCTCGAGTTCTATTGGATCCAACTCTGCAAGTTTTTCAAATCTACAAAGTCTGTACAACAGCTGCTGTTTTGCTCCTGCAAGAGAAAAAAACACGAAATCGAAATCAATTCTCTCACGACACTTAATAATCATGACCTCAATCCATTGCACGTAGAGTAAACACATGACACGAGTGCGGTCAATTTGAAAACGACTAGAAGTCATCAACAACAAAATTAGCGCTAGACGTGCTAGTAAACTTCAACGTGTCTAAATCTTAACTGAGAAAAAATGTTGAAGGTAGCCTATTGCTTGATAATTAAGCAAGAAATAAGTGAAGTAATTGGTTAAGAAGGTTAAACAAATAACCTAGTATATTCCAAATAAATGAGAAACACTCGGAGAAGATCAAATAAATCCAACTAGAAGAAGATCAAATGCACAATTCTGCACCATTGCTGTCCCAAAACATTAATTGAAGACAACTGTGACAATTGAACGATAAGCCCACCACCTGAATGCGGATTGTGCAAGAATTTATTGAACATGTTATGATACAGAAATAGCAACTTATGTACAAGTACGACATGAAAAATGCTCATCAATTTTAATCCTGCAATGATTCCCCTGCAACACCTGATATAATAAATAACAAATTCGATCATCCTGCATTCATGTAAAATCATATAAATTTTATCGAAGCGGAAATCTCTACCTACTTTGTACATTTGCGTAGCTGCATTCAAGATCATAACTGTCCTTGTCTACATCCGCACTTTCTTGTCCGTCGTCCTCTTCGAAGGGAGGATCCAACACAGATACTGGACTAAACTGATCTTTGTCTTTCTCTTCTTCTCTTCTTACTTCTTCGGAACTTTTCGTTCCACAATTTGCTTTCTCCTGTTAAATATTAGATAAATTGTTTAAAAATAGACGTATTATTATCAAGATTATCACTAATATTTAAATGGATCGTTAGGTCCCAAAAAGTAAATGAAATTGTGTTTTGTCCTTTTGTTTGCAATAATTTAAGAGACAGAGACTATTAGAAAAAGATTTTGGTGGCAGACGTGTAATCGAAAGTACAGTAATGAAACAAAAACACCCACGTGCTGCTGCCTGATTAAGGAAAAGAAAAGACAAACCCCTTTTTTGTGGCGGCTAGGAGAAGCTGCCGGCGAAGAGAACTCCGGCACCCGACGACCGGAGGATGCTGGGCTTTTCTGTAGAGAAAATCTGAAAGGGCTTGAGCAGAAACGAGTTTCACAAGAAGCAGAATAGCCATTGGCACTCCCTTCAGAACAGCTGCTAGTGGAGGTCTCCAAATCCAAAAACTTCTCCTCATTACTCGATGACCAAGTATCACAAGAAGACGAAATTCTAATATCCATGTCCGTCTTTTCGTCAATTTTTGGCTCAGAATTTCTTGAAACTTTGACCTCATTGTCACAGACACCAAGCACGCGTCTTTTGTTGTTGGTACGATCTTTCAGCCTCTTGAAAATGGACCCAAACAACCCAAACCTGACATTTTTAATCTGGGTTTTCCTTTTTGACTGCTTTGTCTGAATTCTCATTGCCGCTTCAACAAGAAGTGCAGCAGTTTTAGCAGGAATATGAAGAAAAACAGCACGATTTGGTGATTTACATGGGCTCTGAAAGGGTGATTTTCTGCAGTCCGGCGAGTTTTGGAACGAGAAAATGCATGCATTCTTGCAGAGACTACTGCGCTTTACATTTGTAGGTGAAGTATCAATTATGGGCTTTCGTTTCTTGATCTGTAAAGTGCTTCTAGGACTGGTTTTTGTGAGCTGAGATCGCCTGTCTGCAATGTAGGTATTTAAGTGAAATGGTTCCTGTTCTTCATTCAGTAGCTCATGCAACAACTGCTGCTTATGAGCCATCAAAATTTCAGATTTAGGTATTTTTGAGGTTGGATAGTGGAAGAGCTGGGGATTTGAAAAGGAAAAAGGAGGAGGGATGCAAACAGTGGATTAATTGTAGAGAGAGAGAGAGATCTTTGATTCAAATCCAGGTTTATAAGATCGAGGCAAAGAGGAGATATTCGAAGTGATTGTGAAGTGATGTGTATTTTTTCATATTTGCGGTAATTAATGAAGAGTATTGAAATGGGTGCAGAGTAGGAGTGTAAGACCATTTTATAGTGTTGAATATGTCCAATGAGACCGTGAATTGCGTTAAAAAGAAGGTCAAATTACTACAAAATATTTGAATAACGCTATTGTACCAGAAACAAATATCCACTTGGATAACCTACTCTCACGCAAGTGTAGGATCGACATGAGATCCGCGTGAAATAAAAAATGAAAAAAAAGCTCCCCTCCCTCCTAATGTGTGTAATACAGTCTACACTGCAGCTTCGTCCAAAATATTTATACATGATTGATTGTGATGCCAATCCAATTCATTTGGGGCGACAATGATAACTTGGGGTTGGCCCATTTCACTTATTAATCCATTGCCCGATCATTCAAATCATGAAGCCCAAACTTGATCCAACACATGGTTGAAGACACAATTTGGAGAAGCAACTTTAGTTGACACTTGTGTCAAAATTGTCAAGTGCTTTGGATCATTGATTATCATCTTAGATCAACGGTGATGGTGTGGAGTATACATTGGGTCTCGATGGGTTGCCCTAATTTAGTTGATTCGTCTGATTTTCTATTGTATTTTCTGGAATCCTCTCTGAATCTAATTATTTGTCGACACTTATTTGATCATCTTCAATATCAAACTGGATGATTTTTTTCTGATTTTCTGAGTGAATTGAATCTTCATGTGAATGTGTGGTTCCAGTTTGATGCCTTTTGGTCCATAGAAACAGTGTCGACTAAACTAAAGCTGTAAGCAAAAACCGTCAAATCGGAAAATCGAATCGAAATCACAATTTCGAAACCGACAGTTTGATACCACGTGGACCCGTCAACGAAATGGTTTTGAACCAAACCAAACCGGTCAAAAACAGTTTGGTTTAGGTTTGAGAATTTTAATTATGGTTTGAAACCAAACCGGACGGGCGAAAAATATATAAAATAAAAAATTGATTTTTTTTGAAAATTTATCCAAAATTTCAATTTTGTAAAATTGAATAATTTTGTCATTTTATAGATATTTTTGTCAATTTCTAATTTTCTATTAATTATTAAGATTTATGACCCGCC